GCTCGCGGTTCTCCTCCGCATAGGCCCGGCAGTTGTCTGCCAGGATCTGATCCCGGTCGAGAACCTCCACCGGGCCGAGAGAAGCATCAGGCTCCGACACGTCAAGCGCGCCATCCAACCCCCCAGGGGAGGCAGAGGCAGCGCCCAACGCGTCCTCACCCATGCTGACCTCAAGGGGCCTCTCCTCGCTGTTACCGCGCAGTCTCTCCGGAGAGGGAGGCCGAGGACAGTCTTTCCGCGACTCGCCAGGGACACACTTGTGCGCCCCGCAAAACTCAGTCGCACCCCTCGCGCACATATACAAGAATTTTTCGGCATATCGGGACAACCTATGGTATATCCCGAGATGCCGAAATTCATCTACCTGCTCATCCCGAAGAACCTGACGAATTTTCAGCGCCAGGTCCCTCGGGTCGACCGTCCTGTCACGGTCCTCCCAGGAGATGGCCAGCCTAATAAGCCGGCTCTCCACCTTCCGCTCCAGCTGCTTCCTCGGCGCTGTCATGATCCAATCCACGGACCCAGCCGGCAAATTCGTGGACGACTTGTCGCTCGATGACGACATGGAGGGAGCCAGGCCTACACCCCCCCCGCCCCCACGCCGGTTCCCGGTACCCGAACCCGGGACGTTCACTTTCTTCTCTGAACCTCTCATGGTAACTGAAAAGAAATTGGTTTTTTCTGTCGGGGGTTTTCCTTCCCCTTAGGAGGTTGCCTTACTCAGCTAACGGGGCCTCCCCCCCGGGTGTTAAGTCAGTGTTTTCCTTCACTTAGTGCAGTGGACAAGTTCTTTTTAGGGTCTGCACACCCATCACGCCTCGTTCATCCATCACCATACACTCCAGCTCGGGTACCTCGGGATTGCGACACCCGTACACTACGGGGATGAGTCCGTAGTGCCCCTGAGGGGCCTGGTTCCCTACCTAGCCTAACTAAAATTAAACCGTTTTATTTATATTTTTTAAAAATTCCCAAATTAATTTCATTAAGTCTAAATCGCAATTTTTTAGAAATTGCTTTACTTCATACGGATATTTTATATCCCATTTTTCCATTTTTGCATACAACTTAGTTCTTTCCTCGTCATATAACCTACAGTTCCATACTATATGATCTATATCCTGTACTTCCGCTCCGCACTCACACCTCTCACTAGCAATGTAATTTTTTCTGGCTAACGATTTGTTTAGGTTGTAATGGTTCGCTCTTAATCTGTTCACTAACGTCACTAAACCCCTTTTAACATTACAATCTTTAAACCATGGCCTATCACTATCTCTTTTATAATAATTATCAAAATAAATCTTTCCCTTATATACAGCTTCCACTTCAACTCTATTTTTGGTTGTATCTAGCATTTCCTTCCTAAATCAATTTTTCCAATCTCCATAAGGGCAATGAATTCCATCGTCCCTTACTTCCTTTGTCGCTTCCTTGGCCAATCCATCCGCAAGCTCATTCCCTTTAATTCCCATGTCCTGGAATCCATCCTACAACTACTCTGTTATTTTTTTTTACAGTTATATCCCTATTTTCCTCTTCATCTCTCTTCCTTTCCATTTATTTTTATAATCATAAATTCTCTTTTTAATACTAAGTATAAATTCGTTTTCATACGCATTAAATCTTTTGTCATTCAACTTCTTAACTACGCTTAACGAATCTGTTAATATTAATATGTCTCTATCCGTCTGTCTTTCTAAAACTAATCCTAACACCTTTTCTATTGCTATGGCTTCTGCTGTATATATAGAACATTTATTATTTATACTCATTTGGTATCCTATATCAGATTCTTCTTTGACTATTCCTACTCCTACGCTATTTCTATTCTCTTGTTTTGACCCATCTGTATAATATATTTTTACATTTTTTTTCAACCCAAACTTTTCAATAAATTTTTCTAGTAATTTCTTTCATTTTTGTTTCTTGAGCCTTTTTAAGCATTCTTATATCAACATCCGTCTCAACTTCATCTATTAGTCCCCAATAATCAGTGTTGAATACCTCAAAATTCTCGTATCTCGACATTTCATTCCTATTCCTATACACTTCTGACCAGGCGTTTATCATTACATTATTATTACCCCTAGGATTCACAAATCTATGTTTTCTGACTATCTCCTCATATCTTTTGATACTTTCAATAATATCTACACCCCCATACATTAGTTTTTTTAACCAAAAATCTCTAGCTAGGAAACCTGCTCTTTCTTCCATTCGCATCACCTTTGATTCTGCTATCATTACATTAGTTGGAGTGCTATTTCTATACCCTAACGCTACTCTGATTCCTTTATACTGCATCCTCTCTATTTTATCCTTATTTTTTATATTCTTTGGAAATATTCCGAATAGGCCGTAGTCTATCACCGATCTTACAAAAGCTTTATATGCCAATAATGCTGTATTTACTTCCATTCCCCATGAGACTTTATTTAGCCATTTTAAAATATTACATCTTTTCTCTATTTTTCCTTTCAATATTTCAATCTGTCTTCTATAGGTAGACTGAACGTCATACATAATTCCTAGGAAACTCGCTTCTCTTTCGTACCTAATCATTTCTCCTTTCAGCTCTATTCCTCTATTTCTATTAATTTCACCCTTCCTATTAAAGCCTATCAACTTTGTTTTAGACGGTTCTATTTCTAATCCAATGTTTATTAACAATTTATCCAGCGACTCCAGAGATCTTTCCAATTTCTGTTCCATTACTCCAATGTTCTCCTCTGTGATGTAGATAGCCATGTCATCCGCATATTGTAAGATTTTGACTCCTTCTTCTAGATTTTTCCCCAGATTTCTTGTGTACACTGCATAAAGTAGCGGGCTCAGGACTTCCCCCTGAGGCAATCCTTTATTTATCATTCTTTCTTCTTCATCTTTTTCATTAATAATTAGTTTTGTTGACCTATCTTTCATCCATGTATCTATATATCTTACTATCTTCGATGGGCATTCTATTTCATCCAGCTTTTCTATTAATATCTTCCTAATTACGTTGTCATAGGCCGAGGATATATCTAGAAACACTGCCAGCGTCCATTTATCTTCCAACAACCCTTTTTCTATTTCTATAGACAGCCTTGTTATATTATCATTGCATGATCTGCCCTTCCTGAAGCCATTTTGTGTATCGTCTAATAGTTTGTTGTGTTCTAGCCACCACATAAGCCTGTCATTAATCATTCTTTCTAAAATTTTTCCTACACAACTAGACATTGTGATTGGTCTCACTTTTTCTTTGTTTGGCTTGTCTATAAATATTAGGTGATTCTTTTTCCAATCTTTCATCATGCAACCATTTCTGAAACATTCATTAAATATTTTTAATAATTCGGTCTTCATTTTTGTTCCAACTTTCTGCACCATTTTATACTCTATATGATCCAGTCCCGGCGATGATTTTGTCTTAACTTTCCTCAACGCATTTACCAATTCCGACATTAGAAAATCCTTATTAAAGTCGTTCTCCTCTGATCTATATATTTCGTTATCCAGATCTTCCACTCAACCCAAGGGGGCGCAATTTTCTCGATCTCCTTCCTAATTACTTTTTCTCTGTCTTTTCCCTGCCATTTATTCCAGTCAATCACATTGAAACTATTCTTTGTTACTTTCATTTTCTTCCATACATAGCTTAAATTTGAGTTTTTGTTTAGTCCGCTAGCAAATTCTTTAAAATCCTCTCTCTTTTTCTGGTAGACTCTTTATTTCTTCAAAAGGTTATGAATCACTGAACTGTCTAATTTGTAGAGTACCGTCACTTGACGGGAAAAATAATAGGAATTAAAAGAAACTTAAATTACTGAGATCTAACTATTCTTAGGAAACTAACTATTCTTTGGGAATAAGTATCGTGTGTTCTCATTGGCTGAGACTTTGGACAAGTATGTTATAGGTCTCCATACTACCTCCCTGCTTAGTGTTTTAGGTACTGAAACTAACAGTCTTTTTTGGTTTTGGACCAGAATAGGTTCGCTGATGAGGTAGTCGGTACTGCAGATGCCTGCGTGTGGGACGTGTCCGGTCCCGTCGGTAATACCTCGTAGTATGCTGGTTTTAAGCGTTCCGTGGAGATGGTTGATGGTTCTCCTTTGATGTTGATTTTGAAAACGTAATCTGAGATACGTTCGATGATTTCGTACGGTTCTTTGTATGGTTGGTCTAATGGTTTCTTGACTGCATCCACCCGGACAAACACGTGTGAGCACGAGTACAGTCTTTGAGAGCGAAAGCTCTTGGCTTGATGGATGTGCTGACGGACTAGCGCGAACTTCGCGCATATATTGTCGCAGGTGTTCCACGAAAATTTGCGGATCCGGTGATGAATCTTCGTCCGTGAAAAATTCTGCGGGTAATCGGAGTGGAGTTCCGTAGACCAGTTCGGTTGCGCTAGTTTTGATGTCTTCCTTGAGACTAGCTCGTAGGCCGAGAAGTACTGTCGGCAGGATCTTTACCCAGTTCACGTCTGCGTGCGAACGGATAGCTGCCTTTAATGAACGGTGGAATCGCTCAATCATGCCATTCGAAGCTGGATGGTACGGCGTCGTTCTTGTTCTAGTTGCTCCTAAAAGTTTTGTAAGCGCTTGAAATAACGTGGATTCAAATTGCGAACCCCTGTCGGAAGTGATAACGGCTGGTGCTCCGAATCGTGCGACCCAGAATGCATAAAATGTAGTTGCAATGGTGTCGGCTAAGATATCAGACATCAGCGTGGCTTCTGGCCATCGGGTGAACCGATCAATGGCTGTAAGGCAGTATCTGTATCCCTGGGATACAGGTAACGGACCTATAATATCAATGTGCACGTGGTAGAATCTTGTGTCTGGCATCTTGATGTGTTCTGGGATATTGCGATTATGCCGTTAAATTTTAGCGCGTTGACATGCTAAGCAAGTTTTTACTCATTTAGTAATATCTTTGTTGATGCTGGACCATATGAATCTGCGGGTGATTAGTTGTCTAGTGGCACGTGCTCCTGGATGAGAGAGACCATGACTTATGTCGAAGATCTTCCGTCGGAGAGAGGCAGGAATGTACGAAGCTCATCCTGGACCTATCGCTACGAAGACCCTTTACATGGGAATTCCTGGTAGCCAACGTACAACAGGCAATTCTAGGTGCGGACTTTCTTAGTCAACACAACCTGCTGGTTGACTTACACCACCGTCGTCTCATCGACGGGACAACAAAGCTCAAAACCAACGGAAGTCTAACCTATTGCCGGACCCCATCGCTGTCTGCCATCAATAATAACAGTCCACACAAGGACCTGTTACAAGAATTCAGCAGCGTCACTTGCCCAACGAAGGCGCAGGAGCCCAAACATCCAGTGCAGCATCACATCATTACTCAAGGCCCGCCTGTAGCCGAAAGAGCTCGCCGTCTTTCTTCTGTCCGTGCCAAAGCAGCACGTGCCGAGTTCGAGAATTTGATCGCCGAAAGAATCTGCGAGCCATCATCCAGTCCGTGGGCCAGCCCACTTCATATGGTGCGAAAAAAAAACGGCGGATGGAGGCCATGCGGCGACTATCGCCAGCTAAACAAACAACAACCTCCGACAAGTATCCTATTCCGCACATACATGACTTCGCACACCGCCTACGAGGATGCACAACCTTTACTACACTGGATTTGTCCAGAGCATTCCACCAAATTCCAATAGCGCCAGAGGATCAACAAAAAACTGCAATAATAACGCCTTTTGGACTTTTTCAGTTCAAACGAATGACTTTCGGTTTGTGCAATGCTGCGCAAACATTCCAGAGGCTAATGGATACTGTCCTACGAGGATTAGACTACGCTTTCTACGCTTCTACGCTGTTACATCTCGATGACATTTAGTTGCCTCAGAAACTCCTGAGCAGCATACAGTCCATCTGCGCGAAGTTTTCAAGAAACTTCAAGAGCACGGCCTATTTATCAACCTCGAAAAGTGTCTATTCGGTTCACCAGAGGTCCGTATCTCGGACATTTAATTAACAAAGACGGGATAACCACGCTCAAAGACAAGGTTGACGCAATCGTAAACTATCCAAAACCTAAACGATATCAGAGCTACGCAGATTTCTTGGTTTAATCAATTTTTATCGCAGGTTTATTAAAACGTGGCTGCCTCTCAGGCCCTCTACATACACTCACGAGCGGAGCCACCAAACGAGACAGACGTCCCGTCCCATGGACGCTCGAGGCGGAACATGCTTTCGAAGAAGCAAAGCGGAAACTTTCAATGCATCTCTATTAACGCATCCAGCGAGGAATCGCCGTTAATCTGTGTACTGACGCATCGGACACGGCAATTGGAGCAACTCTACAAAATTCAAGAAGGTAAACGCGTACCTCTCGGATTTTACTCGCTAAAATTATCCGAACCACAGAAGAAATACAGTACGTACGACCGCGAACTCTACGCGATTTACATTCGATTTACGTCGCCGCGGATGCTCTCTCACGCATCCAAGCCATTAGCATGCCGGTAATAATCTCCACGGAAGAGATAGCCGACGCCCAAGCCAACGATGAAGAACTCCAATCCTTGCTGCAATCTGAATCTAGCCTGAAACTACGTAAGTTACGTTTAGACGACAATGAACGCACAATCTTCGTGTGCCGTAAGTATTGATTGGCGTGCCGTTGGCTGCAAAATTTTAAACTTTGTAGGGTTTGCAAGTTTCACTACTCTACCTTTTTGGGGCAAAACAGAGATGTCTGCGTCTGTGTTGATCAGGAATCTCGTTCCTGAAACTTTGTCCAGGATGGCAAGACGATTGTTAGAGTTTGTAGGGCCCAAGGACGTCTCTACTACCCGCGGGCCTGTTCTGGTTTTCTGCTTTTCCTGGGGCTTGGGCCATCCGCAAGGTTGGCAGTTTTTTCATTCGTGCCGTATCTCCTGTGGTAGAACAGGGACGATTGGCAGGCTTCTTGCGGCTTGTGCAGGCGACTGAATGGTGAGCTGTCGTCCTCGGCTTCGAGACCGTGCTCGGCGAGGGTGTAGTCTTTGTTGCCTGAATTCTTTAGTGAGCGCTTTAACCTGCAACTTTAGTTTGTTTATGGTTTTCTCTTGCGCGGACTCATCTTCTGGCCTGTGCTTTATGTCTGGCGTGGAACTTGTGGTACTGACGGCTAGGATTGACGGCCTGATTATGTCTATTGCTTTGTCCGCCATTTCCGCTAGCGATGCTAAGTTTTGCGTGTCTGTAATTGCCAGAATTGTGCGCACTTGATCGGGAGCTGTTCCAGGAATAGGATCGTAGTACGGGTTCGCTGCATTGTCCTGTAGATAAACTCTTGAGTCGATGAAGATAAGCCGTAGGCTTTTTCATTTTCGCCTAACTCGTTTCCGCGAAGGAGGCGGCGTAGTCTTCTTTCATCTCCCTCGTCGTACGCTGCGGTTATTCCTTTTTTGATGGTTTCGTATTTATTTTCTCGCGGAGGGGAGAGAATGACGCTGTCTAAGACGTCTCCGGTGAGCTGGGCGGCTAGCTGACGAAACTTGGTTGCGTCTGATGTAATATTATGATTCGCGAACGCTAACTCAATTTGTGCAAACCATAATCGAGGATTTTGTTTATAAAATGGTGGTAGTGTGATTTAATGAGCTTTTATTACCACTATATCTTGAATAGGGGTTCGTTGTCCTGCTGATCGGCCGTAGTCGTGGAATTTTCTCCTGACGGGCCACGTGGTGGTGAGCGGTCGACCGGCATTTTTGAGTTTTTTTTTGTATTATATTTTTATGTATACGCGTGCTAGAGCGTCGGGGTCACCAATTATGTGGCTTGTAGGGTCACCAATAATAATATAAAAGAGCTAAAAGGTTGACGATGGGTGAGAGATATCGAAACACACGTTGATACAAAAGGTAGACTCTTTATTTCTTCAAAAGTTATGAATCACTGAACTGTCTAATTTGTAGAGTACCGTCACTTGACAAGAAAAATAATGGGAATTAAAAGAAACTTAAAATTACTGAGATCGGAAACTAACTATTCTTTGGGAATAAGTGTCGTGTGTTCTCATTGGCTGAGACTTTGGACAAGTATGTTATAGGAGAGTCTCCATAGGCCGATTCCCACGCCGCCATCTAGCGGCGACGCGGTGAGTGAATAAGCCGCGTTCAAAGCCATTGCCTACGGCTGATCCGCGTTCAAAGTCATTGCCCACGGCTGAAGCCTTTTAACTGATAATTAGTTTTTTTAACTGATAATTAGTTTTTTTATTTATGCAACTTTTAACGTAACTAAATTAATCTTTTTCTCTCATTTCTTCCGTTCCTCCTTTTCTAATTCTCATTATTTATTTCTTCTGCTCTTCTCTCTTCTCTTCTATTCTTCTTGTTCTCCTTCTTCTTTTTTTTGTTACCTCTCCCCTCTCTTTCTCTTTTTCTCCATCTTCCTTTAGATCTCTTCTCACTTCTGTTTTTCCCTTCGCTTCTCTCTTCTCTTCCTTTTTTTCCTCTTTCTTACTTTTCTTTCTTGTTCTTTCCTTTCCTTTCTTATCCTTTTTTTCTCTTTCATTTTTCCCGTCCTTTTCCTTTTTTATTTTCTGTCTTTACATCCGTTCCTCTCTTTATTACATCTCTTTTTTAATTTTAATATATATATATATATATATATATATATATATAAGCATAAAAAGATTCAGTAGCTTTATACACATATTTTTAATATTTAAATTTCAGATAAAAATAAAAAAAGAAAACAACAAAAATCCAAAGAAATATAAAGATATATTTTTTCTTGATTTTGAAATAAGAACAAATTTGTGTTGGAAACAAAGATTCTGCTACTTTATTTGCTGGTTGAATTCGTGCGAAAAGATTCATTAAAATTAAAATGAAATGAAAGAGAACGGAAAAATGAAGGAGAAAGAATGGATAAGAGAGAAAAAGAAAGAACAAAAAAAGTAAGAAAGAGAAAAAAGAGAAAAAAAGAGAAAGCGACTCAAAAATTATTGGTGCCTGGACATTTTCGTCGAGGAAAATTGTCTCCCATATATATGGTATATGGGACATTTTCGTCGAGGAAAATGTCCAGGCACCAATAATTTTTGAGTCGCTTCTCTCTTTCCTCCTTTCTCTCTCTCTCTCTCTCTCTCTCTCTCTCTCTCTATATATATATATATATATATATATATATATATATATACACAGGGTTTACCAAAAGTGTGGCAACCCCTAAATATCTCGGAAAATATATGTTTTACAGAAAAGTGTTTCGAACAAAAGTTGTAGGGTTAAAAAGATCCACATACTGATTCTATCAGATTGACCTTGAATGGCGTCGTCAAGGTCAAATCAAGGTCACGTTGATTTTTTTAAATGGCACCCCTACATTTGATTGCATATTCTTATAGCTTAATTCAAGAGCTTTCCAAAGCACTATTAATGTTCATTTTTATTACGTACTTTGCGAGTTATGAGGGTTTAACGTTAGAGTACCGCCGGTTTTAACATTATTCAAGGTATACCACATGGAGGTTACTCGCTCGGATTTGCATCTGTTTTGTGGTGTGATCCAGTCACTATAAGGCGAAAATTTTGATTATTAACTTCTCCCGTAAGGTGAAAGTTGCCTCGTCTGTAAAAACAATTTGATAAGGGAAATGGGCCGGACATCTATTAGTGCCATCATTCTTTCACAGAACGTATACGACGCTCCTCATCTCCGTTTTGCAATTCTTGAACGTATTGCAATTTATATGGATGGAACTTATCTTCTTTAAAATTCTCCAAACCGACATGGGAGCAATATCGTGAGTTTGAGCGACTCTCGAAACACTAGAATTGGGATCTTCAACAATGTCTGCAGAACATCAAGTTGTTTTTTCTTCGTCGGTTGCAGACAATGATCTTCCTGACTTAGAGCGATTTCTTACGCTACCAGTTTGTCTAAAACGTTCTATTGTTCTTAACACAGTGGACTTATTAATTCGACGGTTCGGATACGTGTCATTAAATAATCGAACGACATCAGAGAACGATCTTTTTTATCATTCCATCCACGCATCATGAGAATAGTGATTCTTTCACGTTCCGACAACTCGCGAGCCATTTTTAAAACGTTTAATTTTAATTATCGTACGTGTGTATTGGACGATAACAATTAATTTCTTCTGCTTGCTCAAAGCTGCAGTTAGAAGGTGCTCGTTCTTTGATAGCTTTATACATTCTTAGTTGAATGTTAAATGCAATTTAGACTGCATGTATCGTGCGTCACATAGCGGTAATAAAGGAACTAACGAGATGTTTTATACACGTTTTTTATGGAGCATTTTTTTTGGTAATTTGACTTCAGCGAAATATGAGGATATGTTAAGGAATAAGATACTTCGGCAATACAAGCAATAACAGGTGAAAACTTCGATCAGATATGGTTTCAGTTGGGTCTTTTGCTGACTGGATCCACGACCGATCTTGTCCTATTGGCTGGATCCACGACCGATCTTGCCTTATAGTTGACTGGATCACACACACAACAGATGCAAATCCGAGCGAGTAACCTCCATGTGGGTATACCTTGAATAATGTTAAAACCGGCGGTACTCTAACGTTAAACCCTCATAACTCGCAAAGTACGTAATAAAAATGAACATTATTATAGTGCTTTGGAAAGCTCTTGAATTAAGCTATAAGAATATGCAATCAATGTAGGGAGTGCCATTTAAAAAAATCAACGTGACCTTGACCTGACCTTGACGACGCCATCCAAGGTCAATCTGATAGAATCAGTATGTGGATCTTTTTAAACCCTACAACTTTTGTTCGAAACACTTTTCTGTAAACGTATATTTTCCGAGATATTTAGGGGTGCCACACTTTTGGTAAACCCTGTATATA